ATTAATTCATCAAAACAATAATGAGGTAGGTATTTATAAATACAAAAATCCATAGATTTTAAATTACCAAAATTTCTAATCAATCTAGTAATTTTAGGCTAATATAATTGAAAAATCTTACAATTCTCGCAGCAATTTAAATATCTGATATTCGAATAAAAATAGCTGCGACGTATTGCAAAGAATTTCTCAAAGTTAAAATAACTTCATTTTTCTCAAGCCAATTATCGTAAGACACGATTTTCGGGACATTAAACGAGGCAAGAATGAAAATGAGATCACACATTGCTTGTATTCATCACGACCTTGTTATTTAGATCAAGCGAGATTTCATATTGCATCAATATTGCATAGACGAGGCGTAACAAATTTTTGCGGTACGAACACCGCTTTGATTCTAATGTCAATTTTGCGTTTTAGCTATTTCTCATTATTGTTCGCATTTAGGATGCACCCACGGTAGAATAAACGACGCTATTTACTCGTATACTAATTGCCAAGGTCCCCTTTGACATTTTTCTACCTTGATTCTCGGCGAATATTTATAGACGCGATTCTGCTGAATAACTCAGCTGAAACCAGATTTGTGAGACATAATACAGTGTAGTAAGTAAACCTTGATAGTCAGTTTGAACTTTTGAAGTTTGTAATGTCACATTTGTAATGCGATTTAGCTATGGAACTCATCAGTCGGATAAAATGACACTCTTCGCGTTATTATTCAAGAAACGTGATTAGTTTCACGACCATTTCTCTACAATTAGCAGTGAGATAAATCCATAACTAATTAATTAACTGTCTGTACGTGTATTAAGGTAGTGGTTATTTTTGTCTTAGTTTCTCGCATGATTCTTTTATTAAGGGATTAAAACGATAATGAATGGGGATAAAACATTATATTATTGCAGTGTTTAAATGTGATTGCTAATTTTACATTGACTTTGAAAATATTTTATGGAATTTGAAATTCCAATAACTCATGTATAATGTGTGTGTTATGCAAAATATTTTATTCTAAATTCTCTCTCTTCACTCGACACATTTCTAAAATATAAATTGAAGGAACGACTATACAGATCTTGCTTCTGTGAAAGTGTGATTTACGCCGTCGGGGTCTCGCGATTTGCTTATTTCTCTTTAGCGAGCTCTGTATTTCCGATCGTATATCAGTTCGAGGTAGCATCGGAATTGATATTAATACTTCGTCGTTTCATGAGACGAAATATATTCAAGAAGAATATTTTCTTCTTGAGGTGGTATTTTCTACACTGGTTGAATGCAGATTTGATAGTGAAAAAATTATGATAAATTCAATACATCGACAGCATGATGGTCTCTTACAAGCAATTGTTCGCTAATTTGATAATTTCTTTCTTTGATGTGCGTAATGTCATGCTCGTATATTTTGATGCCACAGAAGTTTCGGAAGTTTGTTGATTTTATACGATACTCAGACTTTATGTTTATTGTTTTAAGGTAATTTTAAATCTCAGATAAATTTTAATTGAAGGCAATTTACAATCATAAAACTGAAATTAAGACAGAATAGCAGAATTATTCACAGGCACAGGAGTGAGCTTTGGAAGAAATCTTACTTTCGTAACGGATTACCCGATAATGCGATAATTAATCATAGAATGATTAAAAATCAGACGCTAGTTTATTTGATATAAATATACAAATATTACATACGTCTATTTTTTTAGAATAATAGATTTATTGAAATATTTAAAAATCTTGTCGCCTTACATCGTATTGAGAAGATATTTGTCTAATTTCTAGATAAAGTTATTGCGGTAATTTGACTATAGAAAATGCTCGGATTCGTTAGGTATAGATTCTAATACGTAAAGATAGATTCGTTGGTGAGGGGCGATCGTGTATATTTAGAAAAGTGCCCGGTTTGCCAGAACTGAGAGAGACTTGCGTTTCGACGCTTCGCGTAAGATTTCTCCCTCGGTCATTTTTCTCTTCTTATTCTTCCTCTCCTACATCTTCTTTGGTACCCCTTCTCCCCAGCAAACTTAATAAGAATGTCGTTGTGACATTTTTCAAATGAGCGCAAAGCGTATCCGATGTTTTATACACATTGTGTAATAACATATAATCGCGTGAGTTTGTTAAGTAAATTAATTCAGACAATTGAGGGCGAAAGTCCAGATTGTGCTTGATGCCAAAATAAAAATGTGACAACAGTAGTTGTGTACATGTTAAACTTATCGCGAGCAATACGTATAAATCTATAGTAAAATGTAAAACTAAAATATTTTGTAGAAAGGTAAAAAATACATAAGTAATCAAGAAATACTTATTATATAAATAGACGTGAATACTTGCGTATTAAATTCTGTAACGTTCATGATATCAAGGAATTTTGATTATTATTTATAAATTTTATATCTAAGAATTAAAATTCTTTCTTAAATATTTTATACAACTTAGAAAAGTTCCGGTTATTTTCACTAGAATCTGATTTGTACGTAAACCTTAACATGTTTTGATAGTAGTCGATTAATCATTGTTGTTCTTTCGTGATTGAAAAATATATTTCTTTCTCCCATTAGATTGTCTAGCAGAAGTAAAGAATTTTTGTGACGTTGCTTTTTTCGAGCTGCCGATAAATCAGACCTAACGAAGGCGGTGCGGTGATACATGGCTCTGTTTTCAGTCTACGATAGGTTGATCGTAGGCCGTAGACGAGAAAAAGATAAGTAAATCTGTAATTACATCGTTGCTCAAGGCCCTCGTTGTAACGTTTCACGGATGGCTTGAGGAAATATGTTTGTCAGGATGTACAGAGTCATTTCGCACGGCCACTCAACGTTGAGTTATAGCTATAACGTCCGCTTACATCAAGAGAAGAGATTTCTAAAATTATTACTGCAATTAAACATCTCTTGTACGAAAGGATCGTCTCGCGAGGATGAGCGGTGAATGATGTGTATCGCCTCGTTGATTTTTGCAAATCTCGACTGTAATTAATCGATTAATTAAATGTACACAACTGTTTGGATATCCTATTTCCTTTAAATTACCGTGTCCACAGTATTTGCGGAATTTCAAATACTTCTGTGTACACTGCTTTGTTCTCTTGTTATTTCTGTTCATTATACGTTGAGTGACTGTTACATTTAGTTAGACGTCCAAAGTAAACTAACGATTTCTTATTCAATCACAAGTAGTTTCTACTTGCGTAATTAATTTTTAACAGTAATCTGAAAGGAATTCGTTATACATCTATAACATTGATTGTATAATTATTACGTACACGAGGAACCTTACAATTTTAATAACAAATTTGATTAAAGATTACATTCTCTTTCAAAATTTTTCGCAACGAAAAATTTACTCCATGCTCAAACCTGTCATTAAAATTATGTAAAAACACCTGTCACATATGTATGATGTATGATTTACGTGTCTAAATATGGCGACATTGACAGACTAAAAACACTTAAAATCCAGTTTCGCAACATTGTGGATAAAGTTTCATCTCTCGTCGTCGATTTTGTGTGTCTCTCCGGACAAGTACATGGGTTGATCAATGTGTGCGACTTATTTTTCTTCTTTTTCTATCTTCCTATCCAGAGATGGGAGAAAAGAACGTATCTTGCGTTACGCACGAGTGTCGCGGTGCTATCTAATTTCATCACGGGGACGCCAACGTGAGAGATTCCATTCCGGTGACTTTTCGCCAGTCATTTAGTTCCACTGTCGATAGCGCGGGTTCATTTTTAGATTCGTTGCCGACGGCCGCGTTCATATGACAAACTCGCCAGTGACAAGAAATAGAACGCGCAAATGACGAAGTCGCGTCAATGCGCTGAGCGTAACTCCGCGTATATTCGGCCATATATAAATACAATGTTAAAAAAAGATTCGAGTGAAAAGAGGGTATGAGTAACTTCGCATCTTTAGCCTATTATCATTCCTGGATACAAAATTCTTACGGAGGATTTTAACGTGGATGTGCACTAGGACAGAGTAGGATAATAAAAATCTTACTTCGTTAGGTCTAATCCAAATTCTTTGTTACAGTTACAGCAGTTTTTGATATTAATAAATCAATTCTAATATGTCATAAGCAGTACCAGTACTTAGTATGTTTTACTACAGACAATTTCACTCATGCGAATTCATATAATCCGAATTCTTCATAATTCATTGTCATCTCCGTTAATTTTTGATCTCATTGTACAGAAGCAAACATTATTGCGTAACAGTAATGCGCCAGATATAAGAACTAAGATGAATCTCGGTGGGGCACACGCGCGTCCGATTACGAAAGAAGTGTAACATATAATAAATGCTTTTTCTCGTTCTCTGCACTGACTACACGTGTCTGTCGGCGCTTACTTGGGGATCGCGATACCGCGACCTTGGATAATTCGCCAATGGTACTTTTTGCTGCATAATATTGTTGCAATGAATTGCATAAACTTAAGTAACTTAAGTGGCATAAAAAATATGTTCCACATACATATTTCTTATTAAGAGAATGTCCTCATGACACTATTGAGTATCTCTCGTTATTAAACGCTCACGATTGTAATAAAGTATTTAAAACATTGCAAAAAGTGGCGTTTGTTAATTTGTAAGAATATATTTTATTATTTATGAAATTATATAAACATATTTCGAATGCACGTAGACTTTAGCATAAAATTGGCGTATCTGTATGCAAGAGTGAAAGAGTTTTAAAAGGTAACATTTGATTAGTGTTCGAGTATCGTCGTTCAATCTCTCAAAATCGCAATTAAAAATGAGACAGACATCACAATATTAGTATAGCAAGCATTTTCAGTAGAGTAGCAGCTATTTGTCAGCCGCACCGCGTGGAGAACGCGTGTCTGACCTGGGTATCCGTTATCACTTATCGGACGTGACTTCGTGTACCTCGAAGTATTATATTGTACATAGTGTCACGGCGCCCGCGAGACCGTAGGCGTGCGTATAGCTCGACGGGGATGTAAGACAGAGAATTTCGAGTAAGATGTGGTAGTGGCGACGGTAGTGGTGGTCGTGGTGGTGGGCGAAACTCCAACCTCGAGGTAGCTTGGCGATACCTCGCGCGTTTAGTTGGCGCGCGGGGCCCCAACGATTGGGACGGCCGATAGAGACACTTCGTGCGAGTAAAAAGAGAGTAGGATACGAGAGAGACCAAGAAACGAGACAGCGACGAGCGACCACACGACGAGTAACGACGACGACCCAAGACGAAGACGATCGAATCTTGAAAACAAGAGAGGAGGAGTTTCCCCTTAACTCCCCGTTTTGTTCTCGCGCGAGCTTGCAGAATTCTCGAGCCGAGTCTCCCGAACCGAGTGTGTGCGTCTCGTTGCTTGCCTCGGGTGGGCTGGGAGTGATCCAGGAATAAGCGACCCGCTCGCCGTCGTCGCGGGTGTTGGAGGGAACCGCCCGGCCAGGTGCCGGGACTCGCACCTTCGTCAGGAAAAACGTCCATCCTCTCCCGAAGGAGACGCTTCAAGTAAGTCTCTCGATGATGCATTGGATGCGGTTGTGCACGTTGTGTGGCTGCGAGGGAGCGTGCGTGACGGTTGCCGGATTCACGCGTGTCAGTGCGACTTCTCTTCACACTTGATTTTGCCCGAGTGACCCGACCTCCTTTCGAGTTCCCTCTTTTCTCCCTTTCGTTTCCCGAACGCCCCCGTTAATGTTGTTAACGTCGCATCGAGGGCCGCGTGTGGATCAGTGTCGAAGTGTGAGCAACAAGTGACGGACCAGTTTCGCGCACGCTCACCTACGCGAGTGATTCGCCGGGGGTAAATGAAGGGACAAGTGGATTGAGGAGGTATGTCACGCTCTCACGACAAGTTGACCCAGTTATCCCCGTAGATCAGTCGTTTATCTTTCGAAAATACTTTTACATTTCACAATTTTATTTTGCTATTTAGAAAGAAATTTAGAGATAGAGGACTTTTTGCCTTTAAATGGTGTAGCAATATCATCTTCCTGTTTCGAGGATTGAATAGTAATTTAATAATGGCAATGCTCGTTGAAGTTGACTTGAGTATTATATTCAATTATTTTAAACTTGATCTTAAAAATTACATGTGTACCTATATTTATATATTTTTTTAACATTCCCTATTGAAACAATTATGCATATCTTTTTGATATATCTGAAATTATTCTAGGGAAGTTTATTTTTCGATTATATAATGAGATATCCGCGGAAACGGATGTGTTGAGAGACGAATGAATGTTAAACATTGGACGAAACAATAGATTAGAAACAATAAAGGACGACGGAAAGCAAGTGATATTAATCGAGCATTAATATTGCAACATTTTCTAGCTTTTGTTCTCGCTCAGTTTTTACATACTTTATACAAATATAATTCGCTTGCTCTTGACTTCTATTTTGATTACGGATTTCTTAGACACTTCTTAGACACGCAAACAAGACGTTCATTCATCACGGTGGTATTTTTGGTCTCAGTTTGCGGTGAACAGTGATTCTTCTAGTCTTCAGTCGTTTACGTGATAAACAGGGCGTTAATTTCGAATCTTTTCCAGTGCTGTAATAATTTCCTCATTGCAGCCTCGATTACTTTGTCACTAGTTCTTCACTTTGTTTAATTATTTCGTTTATTAAGAAGATTATGAAAAATCTGAGCCATGTTTCCAATAAGCTCACAGTGTAGACGCCGTTTCTCGCGCTCGACGATCCTACTTTACATGACTAATCGCCACGAGTTCCGTCGCGGCGGCGGCGACTATTCGTAGACTACTATCTAGGTATCTAGGCTCGGAGTCCACTTATTTTTAGGAGGGCGTAATGTGAGTAGCGGTTCGTCGTTCCTACAACCATCTTTTCGTCCGTATCGTTGTTTCATACATCGTTTCGTCCATCTTCACGTCACCGTCCGACACATTGTCATCATTTGCCGCCTCGTCTACTCGTTGACTCCTTCCCCTCGAGCTTTCACAGCTCGTATTTATGCATTAATTTTGGGAGACATTAATAGAAGTTCCATTAGCCTATTTCTTCCTGTCCATCTTATTCCACTTGTGCTTTTAATCATATAATTTGTAAGAATATTCAGTTACTACGTATAATTACATCTTAATTTGCTGATAAGCCAGTTAGCTGTCTTTCTCTTATCGCCTTTTCTACGTTTGTTAATAAATCTTCTTAGTATTTATTTGGTCAAAAACAGCAATTAAATAGAATAATAACATATAATGATATATGTTTGCGTGAGATGTGTCAGAAATTTTAATACTTGTTGTGGACGAGAATTCTGTCAATTATACAGAATTTGTGAACGTATTTAATTTACAAAAGTCGTCCTCGCCATTGTAATCATCCTAGATGCTATAATTTTCCCTTCCGACTTATTGTTAGCGATCGATGAGAGCTTTAGAAAGTTCGACCGATTTAAAAATACCTCGCATACCACGAGTTCCGCGAGACTGGTTGAATCCGGAGAAGCAGGCCAGTTGAGAGTGCGAAGAAAAGGTAAATCAGTACATGCGTTGCGAAGAAACGGAATTTAAAATGTACGATTAAATCTTCAATCGACATTAAATGCATCGCAGATATTAGAGCAAATAAGTTCCTTTTGCGAGAACTACACAATTTGATATTGAACGTACGCACGCCATTAATTCGTGTTAAGTTAAACAATTAAAGAGTATCAGTTTGAACATGCAAATATGAGAATATTTTTATAATAATGACATATCAGTTTCTAGTGCTTTTGATGCAAAGCATTCAAAGGTCATAGGAAAAATAATATAATTTCACGAAGATTTGAAGAAAATATTTTTTACTGAAATTATATTTTTAGATTTACGTGTCAGTTTATGATTTTGTTTGAATTAAAAATTCTTGTAAGATTCTTTTTTGTGACTTAGAAATTTCTCTATGATTAAGCAGTTTATTAGATGCAATTCTTTTTGAATACATACACTACTTATGCAATTATAACTTGTATAATATTTTAATTAATTAATCGATGTGTTTACGTACTTTTGGACCCATTATCGACATTGTTGCATCGTCAGCCAAAACGGTTCGTTTCACCTGTTGATCATCAGAGTCACAGTATGAAGTGACTAATATTATTCTTGGCGGGGTTTGCCATTGTTTAACAATTTAAACCGACAAATTTGTTTCTCTTCTTGCGTGTAGTTAATCAGAGATTTTTAATAAAAGAACGAGAGAAAATGAGTCACCTATCATGGTACTATAGTTCTTAAATTTTAATAACTATACCAGCACTATAAAGAGCGATAAAAATATGCATTTTCTCATGTCTCAATTTTTATTTATCAAATCATTTAGTAACGAACTTTGATGTTGCAAGCATTTGATATATCGGTACCGTTTGTTTTTATCGGCAACTCCATTTTGTTTACTTGTTTAGTCGTTCAAGGCTAATCTGGTTAACTTATAGCAGAAAGCTGGCCTAGAAAGCTGCTCGTATTCTTGACCCTCGCTCATTCCAATATTGTGAGGCATAGTAGATGATTGAACAATTGTTTGACGACTGTATTTAAATAATCTCTACGTTAATATATTGTGCTATTTATATGCATTTTGATAAAGAGTTGCATTTTAATACGATCGACAGAAATCACAATGCTTTTAATAATGATTTAAATCGCCGCTTTAAACAGTATCGTCCTAAAATTTATTTCAATTTCTTGCTACATTCAAATTTGGTATTTATGAGTATACTTGTATAAATTGTATTCACAGTCAATGTTCTTATTTTATTTTCCATAATATCGCGTAAATAATCTAGTGAAGTTGATATTATAAAGGAGCCAAGTGAATTTTCATCACCGCGACGTTATTTAACATAATTCTCGGTTTTGCGACGTTTCGCTGTGTTCTGCCAAAAATTCGAGTGCAAAACGCTTGTTTACAGGATTTCTCGCGTTTTATCGCGGATAGATCGAGACGTCGATCGGTGATTTTAGTGCCGCTGCCGACTCGTTTGAGTCAGTCGGCGAAAATAGATGCGCGGTGCGTCGCAAGTAACGCGGTCAGTAGTATAAGCGTGGTAGAGTGCGCCCGCGAAAATGCATCGTACGACTAATAATTATAACTCTCGCGAGTAGAATTTAGTTCCGGATGTGACTTCACCTTGAGCGTGGAGTACTATTGAGAAGTGAATCATCGTCATGCGACAAGAGTTTCTCAAAAAATCTCAGAAGCCAATTCTGTGAAATTTAAATTCCTATCTTGAAAGGTGTAATCTGCGAAATATTATTTATTTTATTGAAAAATTAAATTTACTGTACACAAAGCGTCTAATGATTCAATAACGATAATGTTATTTCAAACGTCTTTAATATCCAAACTTTATTACAAATGCCATTACCATTTGATGTTTAAAACACAATCCTTTTTTTAGTTGGACTAAAATTGCGTTCCTTTCTTCTGGGAGAAAAGAATATATGTTATCCAAAACGTGAATCACTTTGCTACCACGCTATACATTATATATAGAATGTTAAATATTTTCAGATTATTCATTTCACGTGATTCCTAAGAGTGAGTGGGTGCATAACAGCAAGCGCGTTAGTCACGATTAAATGACGTAGTTAATTCAATTAAAATAGATCGAGAATTATTGCGGGTAGTAAGGTTTATTCATAAATGTATTTTATACAGAAGTAAAAAAGTTGTAACGTTATGTCAAATTTTGCCGTGTGGATCTTAACGATTGTTTGACACGTTGCATGTCAGAGCCACTTGAATATACTGTCTCGTAAATTCATGACAGCGAAGAAAGGAGATTGTTTCGCACGATGCACGTGGCTCAGAACTCTGCCAAAAGTAATTGCGCCTTTTTAACGATGCTGGTTCAATGTCAAACGCTCATTGAACGTTCATTTCCATTGCAAGACTGCAACAACCTACACTACATTGCTATGCTCCGTCTTAATTCCTGTTTTTCCGTCTGTACATTCTCTCATTTTACCTTTTATGTCTTCTCAATTATATTAATTATCGTACACATGGGAAATATCATTTGTGTTTTTCTACAGATTTAGTTTGTTAGAGCATTTATTATGCGCCTAACGGCAATGTGCTACATTTTTATTGGGTCAGAGTGTCAACAAATATGTATTGTATCACAAATAGCCGGTAGAATTATGCCAAAGTGAAGCAACGCTTTCTATGTAGCCAGCAAAAATATTAGGTCAGTTGGATGCCGACATTCTCTCACGTACAATGTGCCGACATATTCAAGAATTTAAATAGCATATTTCTCGATCGATACATGTTTAAATTGCAATTTTCTGAGAGTCGTTAGTGGTTTTGCTTTACTTAAAAATTAACGATACAAGAAATCTAATAAGAAATTCTTTCCCGTACGTTGCACTCTTAAATTGGTAAAAAAAATTACGATGAATATTTTCAAGATAAACCTAATGCGTTTTCATTTGCTAAATAAATATCTCAAAGTGTTATCTTACATTCGACAACGCTTTTACATTTATTTCTTTTTAGTTTTTGAAAGATTAATCGCCGGATGACAAACGCGGCGCGAAAATCAGACGACGAGCGAAAGAGGCGGAATGCGAACGGGCTGTTACGAAGTGCAGTAATCTCGGGAATGCATGTGGAGGCCACTTGCCAAGTCTTACTCGTGACGTGTAATACTTCGTCCGTTTTGTATGTCGTTTCGTCGGTCCGTTAAGCTCACCCTCGCATCTGTTCAGTCTCGTCTAAAAAGATCAACCACTGGTCGCAGAATGTGTGTCGACATTACACCGTCTACCCGGAATAACGCAGCTTTCTATTAGAGGACCCATGTTTGCAATGGATTATCAACTTTTTATTAATTTTTATCTATTAAGCAAGCACTTTGGAGTATTCTTATGAAAAAAAGAAAAAGAAGGAAAAACTTAAAACGTAGAATTTTCATGCATTCGATTGTTTAACGTCGAAATCGTTGAATAGGTGACTCGTTTATCTTTTCATTAGTGTTGCGACTCGTGTATGCAATTGTAAAACTTGTTGAGACAGTGCGAGCGAAGGAGCCAGGCGTATCATATTTCCATCACCTGGCTGGAGCTGACATAATAGAATAATTTGTTTCACAATTTTGCAGCTCGTACGGTGGCAACCGACCAATTACGCGAATCTCACGTTACCGGAAGGATATCGTACCAACGCCTACCCTTGCACTTGGCAGTCTTCTCCCGGCACATGTCACGCGAAACTAATTCATACTTTCCGAAACGATTGTCACCTATCGCCAATGTTTGCGAGGCCTCTCAATCAGGTTTAAAACGAACGTATTATCTCATGCTCTATTTATAATAGTTGTGAAAAAACTATACGGACAGTTGAGCTCACTCACGCCTGCAGTATCATTCTGTCATTCGTGAAAATTACCGAGACACCAAATCTCAGAAATTAACTTTCTTATCTATAAATATCGAAGAACAAACTAAATAGAACGTTTCTATGCACACACAGATGCCTCTACTATTTTATAGTTATAGACAGTTCGAAATAAATTTCTCACAGTTAATAAATACAAACCAATTTGAGTTTAACAGAATTAATAACAATAATTTCTGGTGATAAGATTTTTCAATGAATCAATTAAAATGATATCGAACGTTTATCGGTTGTTATCAGGAGTTATCGCGTATGTAACGAGGTTGCAGGAGAAAAACAGGTGCAGCAGGTCGGTGTCATCGTGCGTTAAGCCACGTCACGCGATACGTCACGCGAAAATGATCTCTAGCCACGTAGCTGGCGATCATCTAAGCGAATCGACACTTCTGGCACTTGGAGGCGTCGCGCGATGCCACGGGTCTCAAAGGAACGATTGTCCGGACTTGCGCGCGAACATATTACATCCGACGGGTTGTATCGCGACCCAAATGTATGCGGCTTCCACGGTTAGATGCCAAACATAATAACCGATTACCAAGATAACTGGCCCAACCTATTTTCGAGCCAAGAGCCGCATTAATAATAGTGGCCTTACGTCACCCTTTACGGCTCCCTCGGCCTTGGGGCCTCGCGGGAAAATACTCGCTTGAGCTTGGAGAGCGAGAGTCGCGTGGATTCCGCGAAAATTCGTCGTTCGCCTCGCTCAATTTGCAGTTAAACGCGGCCTGCTAATGGTCCTGTACATCGACAGCATGGTTCGGGTGGCCTGTCGTCACCGTCGCCGCCACCGCGTTGGTACCTGCCGAAAATAGGCCCGACACTCGTAAATTATGAGGTCCTTTTGACGCAGCGGCTGAGGAAAAGCAGGCGTCGCTCACGAAATTATTATTAGACCGGCGCGAAAATAATTCGCAATTCATATTTCGGATTTTGCATTTCTGTAAAAGAGAATCGGCACATACGATTTTTACACTTTGTTCGTGGCACGTGTATATAATAGCACGCTAAAGAGGAGATTTATATCGAACATTAATAATTACGATTAGTGAGAGAGCTGTATACTTTTTTTCTAACAATCAGAGAGACTTCAAATTATTTTATTGATTTTATACGTATATTTTATAATTGCATAATTTAAAACGATATTATTGCTCCGACACGAAAGACGTGGTTTTTGCGAAACTTTAGCTTCTGTCGCTTTCAGAACGATCTGAAAATACGAATCACAACCAGTAAAACATACGACTGGGAGCACCGCGATAAACCATGCTGAAATATTTAGCACGCATTATTTATCGTCGTATTATTTTGAAAGGATTCACGTTTTCAGCACCTGGAAATCGTAAGCGCAAAGTCGCGATCTACGGCCAAGAGACGAGTAGCAATTTCGGGCTCTGCTCGTTTACGCGATGCACGACCGTCGTTCCGTACTTTGTTAAATTATGTAAACATCTATTTTGAATTTATCATACACGATAAATTATTCCCAGACGTTTTTTCACTGTCACTGAGGTGCCGCTTCGTTTCCTCGTTTTCTGGCGATCTTCCCCTCGGCGATCGATCAGAGCAACAAAATCGTGTTTAATTCCAAGACGGAAACTTTATTCAACAATGTTTTCGTAACTTTATTATACAACTGATCCTTTCCGCGGTCAGTAATGGCTGAGAGTAAAAAATTCTTTTGCTCCAAGTCCCTTCGTCGTTATACATGCTCCATTCATCTAGAATGAATACCAACGCAAGTAGGAACCTCATCACACGTTACTACGGACGTTAGGCAGCGCTAAAGAAGGCTAAGTATAGGCATCAGTATAAAAATAGCCGCGGTTGAGGCAACTACAGATGACAGCAACTCAGACTGCCAAGGTTTACTGAACCACGGTGACTAGAGCCGGAGTACAATCTATGCTGTCACTCCGAACATTAAACTGCAAATACTTGATATCGAGCAAAAAGTAATACTAATATCGAGGTGTGGTCGTCGTTCGATAAATTAAGGCCGGGATTCATAGTCGGATCTTATATTCAAGACCGTCTTAAGACTATCTTTAGATACTCCGTAGTCAATGAAATGTTCCATACAGCATCCTTAGATAAATTCAAGACGGTCTTGAATGTAAAAACTGACTATGAATACCGGCCTAAATGCCTCTGAGGAAATAAAGCCTCCGAGATAAAAAGTGAGAACGTATTCTTTGATAAACTATAAAACTTTATCTTCTTGTGAATTTCAATACTGCAAATTAATTACTAATTAATGTTGAAAATTAAGAAATTCTAAAACTTATTGTTTTAGAATTTATTGAATTGAATTGTTATAGAATTTATAATTCTAACTTTTGTCTTGAAAATATACATTTATCGAAATAGATGACTATATACCATTTCTTTTTTTAGTAATCTATCACGAAAGCAAATTCTAAATAAGTTATTTTATTTATAATAAAATGTCTCTTTTAATACGGAGAGAAATTTCTTTTGCTGTCACGTGTATCATCGATAATGAATAGAATTTTTAGTTGTGTGCTATTTGCTTTTATGGCTGTTATTCTGATATCCGAAAAAGTATTTTATAATATGGTGGCAGTGAAGATATTTGTGTATATTCTGAAGTATTGAAAATAATACGTGTATGACTTAATCTTTTTTACATTTTACATTTTATGAATTAGCTTCACTTTCTATATAGAATGCCTCAGATTTGAGTGGCTAAACTGTACTATTGTATTTTACGGGTAAAAATTAAAAAAATGTTATATGAATACAGATCTATTGAAACTTCATTACAAAGTTACAACAAAGAGTGTAAAAATATGTGAAATTTAATGCAGTTTGGCTGTCGAAACTTGGGATATTCTGAATATTTTAATTTCCATACTGACATTGTGCCCTTTTGTTTCTAGCATTCTCAGAAGTTTGTGAGAAACGAGTAAAGGTGGACGTCGAGCTCAGAAGAAATTTGCGACAGAAACAGGTTGGATGGTGCCGCAGGCCGGCGCCATTTGAACCGACGAGCTGGGCGAAGGGACTTCCTTCCTTGGGTCGCGGGTGCGAGCACGCAAACGGGACCGGGTTTTCCGGATCTCGTAGGGACAGGTGCGAAGGCGTGCCTCCACGATGGGGGTCGCCGACGACTTGGCGCCCAGCTTTACGCAGAAGCCGCAACTACGGCAGGAGGACGATGGCAACCGGCTGATATTCGAGTGTCAGCTAGTGAGCTCTCCTAAACCTGACATCGCCTGGTTCCGCGGCGAGACCGAGCTCAGCGAGGATGACAGGACCAATTTCAAGATGCAGAGCGTCGGGACCAACAAGTTCCTGGTGGTGCTCGAGCTCGACGATGTCATCGAGACCGACGCAGGCCTCTACAAGGTCAAGGCGAAGAACAAGATGGGCGAAGTCGCTGCCTCCATCAACCTCAACTTTAGTCGTAAGTATTCATATCTTACATTCTCCTCTTTATTTCCTACATTTTTCGCATAATAACGATACTTTTATAAAAATGGCATCACGCGGAATCACGAAATTAATACGAAATAAATTTTGGAATTATTTAGGTTAGTCTGCGCGTGTGAGATATTTTACTTATATGACAGGTTTTATTACTTTCGTCTTTATCTATTTTGAATTCTTAGTAGGAAAACGAGTGGTTGAATCGCGATTAAAATTAATAAACATTCGTAAAATAAGTTAACTGTGTTATTAAAAGTATAAGTACAATGAATTGCATTTGGTTTTAATTTGTAAGCTGAAAAGTATCGGTGGATTTAAATATTGATTTTTTAGATTATTTCTTGAGTAACATTTTGCCGTTATATTTTTCTAGCAATGGATGAGCCTAGAGAGAAGTAAGTCGGTGAAGTTTGTACCGAGAGGAAGACTCATTTGTCGCTTCTCCAGGCTCTGTTTAATTAACTTGTTTTACGCTTCGCGCTTACGCACTAATGCGTTTCTATTATTTCGCTATCGAATGTTTTGTTCTGATTTATCTCTGCCTTTCTCGCCGATTTCGTTGTCTTTCGTTTCTCATTTATGATTTTAGCTGCCGAACAATCCGTTGGGAGAGGGTGAGAGCCTTACTTACGCTATGTTTTGCAAATGTTGTAATTGCCAACTTGATTAATATTTTAACATTGGTGAAATCGGTATTATATTTCTCCCACAATTTGAATTAAGAAACATTTCACTTATGACGATAGAATAGAAGAGAAAATGAATAATGCCCTAACGTATGCATTTCCGTTCTTCAATGTACATATTCATTCGTTTCTCGAAAACTCGAGGAGAATTCCCTGTATACTTTTCCATTGAATCCTGATGTAATTATTCACAAAAGAAAGTTGATTACACAGTCCTTGTTGTGACTGTTACGAAAGTTTAATACAAAGTTTAGGAAGTTCCTTGTCGCGTGAAAGTTACGTGAAAAATTTTCACTTTATGTGCATTATTTACTATTGCTGCGTTATCTTTGTCGATAACGTTCGAGTGCACGTTAAATCGGTCTGACCGAGAATAACCGTAGCGATATGTCCGCTATTTTCGGTCACGTTCGCGTCGCGCAATCCGACAGAAATCACGGCGGCTCGCTGCGCGTTAGCTGAACGATCGGTCGCTTCTTACCGATCCGCCCACGCAGATAGAATCGCAAACACGAAATGTAGATGGAAATAGAATTAAGGTCTTCTAGTTTTGGATACCGTTCGTGTCTCGCACGCGCAATCCGACCACAAAGTGGCCGGATTATTTCAAACTTTGTTTCTCATGAGAAAGAAACCATTCAGTCTCACCGATCTGTCTATATCATTAACAATGATCAAGAGTGATCGGATCGAGAGTGAAAGGCAGAACTGTAACTGAACTTTGTTGAAATTTAAGAGGATGCAACAGCGAAAAAGTAAAAGTTGCGTATTCAAATTAGAATATTAAGAAATTGCAGGAACTTTTATTTCTATTTAATTTGTGTGGCAAAATATAGATTCAGCACCTGAAAGTTTTAAAATTATACCAAGCTGCATTTCTTGTATGAAATAGAATTAAGGTCTTCTAGTTTTGGACCCCGCTCGTGTCTTGCACGCGCAATCCGACCACAAAGTGGCCGGATTATTTCGAACTTTGTTTCTCATGAGAAAGAAATTCAGTCTTACCGATCTGTCTATATCATTAACAATGGATCAAGAGTGATCAGTTCGAGAGGGAATGACAGAACTGTAACTGAACTTTGTTGAAATTTAAGAGGATGCAACAGCGAAAAAGTAAAAGTTGCGTATTCAAATTAGAATATTAAGAAATTAAAGCAGAAACTTTTATTTATATTTAATTTGCGTAGATAGTACAAAGTATAGAGATTCAGCACCTGAAAGTTTTTAAATTATATCCAAGCTGCATTTCTTGTATTATTTTGCACTTGGTAGTCGTCCCTCGAAAATGGAGAAACGTTTCTTTAATAGTTGCATAATTATAAAGAGGTTTGCGGGAAGTTATTCTTATCCTCGCGACAGTTTAATTATAATAACAAGGATTCACTGTCGCAGCATAGTTAATAAATCAATCGCGAGATCTTTATGCAATCTGCACGAGCGGAAAGCATTTATCAGTTCTCAAATCTCTCCTCGCATGCCGCTTGCAGTTATTCCCGCGTCTCGTTGCAACTTTAACGATTTTCAAAGATAATTCGAAACTGGGTCGGGAGTGTTCTCTGCTCTCTCGTCTCGCAGTCGGCGGCGACGACACGACGAGAGGCTGTATTTTCGGATCGCATCGACAGACGTGATTCCCGTGAATTTCTAAAAGTAACGCGAGCCTTTCCGCTTCCACGCGTCTCTCGAAACGTGTCGCGGTTCGCGTTCCATGATGAGTGCCGAAAAAAACTTCGGTCAGCTGCGAGAAATAATTGACCCAAAAACGTAAAATGTATTCGCGCGATGTCTGCGAAACTTTGAACGGTGAGACTTTTAGCGTTCTGACGAGCGCAAATTGTTTCAAAGGTTCAAAAGGGCAAGCTGCTGATCGAGAGGGAAGGTTTCGTAGCTCGCGAAAATCGAATTGATCCGCGATTGACGAGAGTGAAAGTCGAGAGAAAACAGCTGCAGCCTACTTCCTTGCTAAACTTAGCCGCAACGCGCACCCGTGTTAATGCACTTATGGTCCATTTGGGATGCGAGTGTTAGGCACGTGCCTCTCGTTCCGACTCTCAATTTGCGAGAATAAACATCGGTGATCGTAACTCGGATCGCACGATTCCGCTGTAAGGAGTAACTTATTTAAATGAGAGACGCTGGTCAGAATAATTAAAGTTTCTATTTCTAATTTGCAAGGAATCCTACATTGGAAATTTGCAGATTAAAAATCTGCGAGTTTAAATAACTGACGATGAGATAATTAATGGATTGATTTTTATAATATGGCCATTAATTTTGACTTGTTTTAACAAGAAGAAGCGACGAGAAACGTTAATGTAAAAATTTTACAGGGAAAGGCTGTCTTCGAAATTATATTTAACTTAGAGGTTTATTTTTAAAGATTTTTCTGTATCGAGTATTCTTGACTGTCGACAAAAGTTATTGCTGCCAAGAAAGACAGTGGTATCAATTGTAATAGCGATGTACCGGATTTTTAAGTGGTTGTTAGCTGTCGGATTGCCATCAGAATAAGCTGTTGGACGAGCTTCCTCTCGTCAGGAAGCATCGACTAATCAAAACAAGAGTTATTTCTGGCAGCAATCCGCAAAAAGCTTGGAAATCTCACAGCAGCCGCAGAAGCTGCTCTTCTCTTATTGGTTCAAATATTACCACCTTCCTTATCTTCACATATTTAACATCTCTTGAAATAGTTGTAATTATTTCAGAAGTGGAGATTAACTCTTTGTACTAACTTTTTAGCCGCATTTGCATACGTTTGCGACTGAAAGCATGCGATCTTGTGTCTTTTGATTTGCTAACGCGTTGGTTGATTGCGCCGGAAATGAGATTAAAATCATCAGCGACATGTTACCATACGTTTGTGACGCAACATCTAAATTTTCGCCTCGATTCGCCGTGATTTAATTCAATCGGCGCAACGATCAATGCTTTAGCGAACGATAAATTCGCACGAATGCATTTCTAGATTCATGCGACGTTTATTTCGCGCTTACAGACAAATTGACGGCATCGCGCCGACTTTCGCGAAGAAGCCTGCGATTAGACAGGAGGACGATGGCAAACGCCTGCTGTTCGAGTGTCGCATCACAGCCGATCCCACGCCGAAAATCACATGGTTTCACAGCGGGAACATGGTCAAAGATTCGCCAAGGCATAAGGTTCGTCGTTTCCTGTTATAATCTACCTCGTGTAATACTATAAACTCAAAGGAGATTCAATGAAATTATCTATTAATAGTCCAGTTTCTTCACATAGTGAGATTTTATCTACAATACGTGTGATAATAAGTTCCCCAAATAGCTTTTGGGTTCTAACTTTTGTTTAAGCGTATCATATAAATACTATAACTTTTTAGAAAATTTCTCAGATCTTTTTATGCGAATTGGAGCGTTTTTCATAAATGTTGAGATGGTCTTTTCTAAAACTCTTAATGTAATTATTAAATATTTTAAGATTTCTCATTCGCTAATTTCCGAATAATGACGAGTTAAGTATTGTATTGTTTTAAACCCTCATAAATTTGAAACATGAAAAATACTTAAAATCAAAAGCGTAAGGCGAAATTCATGTAAGCGGAGCGGAGGTCAATAAATATCTATCTATCTACTTAAAATTATTGTGAGATATTATGACAACTTTTTTTTTTAGAAAAGTTGAGAGCGTACTACATAATTAATTCGAGCCCGTAATAATAATTGTTGAACTGTTTCAGCTGACCGTCGATAAAGACGGCCACTCGTATTTCGCCACTCTGGAAATAAAAAATGTGACCGTCGAGGATGCTGGCAAATATAAGGTCACGGCGAAGAACGAGCTCGGCGAGTCTAACGCAACGATTTCCCTGAATTTCGATAGTAAGTATCTGACGTTTTACGATAAATAACCACAAACCCATATATACTTCGACCGATGATCCGCTTTACGTTTTAACCACCTGCTTAATTTTTTCACAAGTATACGCTCGATGATTCGCGTTATTTCGTCAACAGTTCAGTTTCTTAAATCGAAAAATTATTTTTAACTTCAATTTACTTTCGATATCAAGCAGGCACTTTAAAATGTTTAATAAGAAAACTCTGCTCCAATTTTTCTGATTTATTTCTTTGTATTGATTTCCTTCGAATTTTTTAGATAATTTTTTAATGAAACTTGTATTGTAACTTTATATTGTAGATTTCTAAAGTAACGAATGCGTTTTCCTTTATTCATTTCTGCGATGTCTTGAAGCGGAAAACAAAGTGGATCATCGGCGCCGTTCCTCAACTTTTCTCTCACATTCTCACTCGGGATGTATATCGATGATTCTCTTTCATTTCTGACTCTCTTCTTCATCTCAATTCTCTGTCCTGTTTATCTGCATCCTCCATGTCTACTCTACACCAACGTATATCCGCAGTTTATTATTTAATTTTTTTCCGTTCCATTCAGCAGTCCATTCTTCAGTCTCTTTCTACTCTTTCATTGTAAATGCCATATAATGCGGAAACCTTTATTTTTTAATGGTTTGTCTCGGTCGAGCGATGAGCACGTATCGATATCGGCTCGACGCGAGCCACGATATACAGCCCGTTGATTTGATTTTAATCGACTAAACGGCATTTTTCTTTTGCGAGAGAAACACACACTTGTTGTCTGTCTCTCATGAATTTTGCACCGTAAAAGTTGCGTAGAGAGCGGACCAGAATAATCAACTTGTAACAACGCGTGTACTGCTGCTTCAATCACGTATTAATTCGAATCGCATCTCGCGCCGAATTCAGATACACTTGCGTCTCGAGACGAGTTCCCATCTACACCGATGATGCACGAGATGCGATCACAAGATTAGCTTTTAAACACATTATTGACGCTTAGGTTGCTTAGATGACATCTTTTCTCTCTATTCATATGTTTGCCGTGTGTGAACATCCGCGGGAAGCCTCCGTTTGCACTGGCGGCCTTCAGATGCGCACCAAGTGCTATTTACACACGCGCAAACGTAATTATACGAAATTTGGGTGGTGGTTAGATCTGCTAACTATTATATATTTCCTTACTTGCTGTATGTTATGGTTTCGATTTCGCGATTCAACTTCAACGGAGATGTTACGTTTCTTTTGGTTGTGACCGGACAAAGCTAAATTTTAATATCAGTTGCCCACAAGTATAACATAATATTTTATATAATTATAGAATCAAGTTTGATTAGTTTTTATTAGTTGCGAATACATTTTACAGTCGCATTTCCTTACGTTATATTCTTGTAAAAATTTTATTTACATATGAATGAAATCTATATACTTTTATAGAATTCAAACTCGCAAGTACGGAAATGTTTTCGACAAATCGTAAAGTATCTAGTTAATGACAACGATTTTAATATTGTATTATTGTATATACTCACATGCGTCTTCGTCACATGCTTCACTAGTCTCATTCTCATCGGCTAATTCGCTCGTAGAGATTTTTTAGAGTAAAACAGAAATGTTTGAAATTATGTGTTGTTCTGTCATAATGTATATATTCACATTACTGATTAATACCACGTATTTTAATCGACACAACATGGAAACACACCACTTCCTTCGCACGCGGTATTCACGACTTGAACGATATTTATCGTAATTATTGAAGATGGAATGAAATTGAAATTCCTCGATTAACATTAATCGAATTGTTATGTCATGTCAAACGGTCGTACATATTACACCACTCACTCACTCGCAAACAGCGTTTTGACGAAATGCTTGTGCATAATTGTGCAGTGTTCCTAGTTTCATTTAACCGCGCGCGCGCGTCCATTCTCGAAACCGTACGAGAGAAATGAAGCAGGTGACACTTCGAGAGCACAATTTTATGATCCACCAAGCGAGACACTGCGAGTAAATGGAAGGAGAGTAGAGAGAGCAACCTAATTCACAAGATGTCGATCGGCAAGGATCGTGAATCCTTGAACGTGTATTCCCGAGCGTTGGTTTCAGCACACTCGTTATATGCGACGATACGAATGACGAAGTTAAACTTAATCGATCACGTAAAGATTGAATATCGAATGGATCAGTGTAAATTAAACTGCGACACTCTTTAACAGAGAAAAAAATGTTTATAGTATGTCTAGAAACTTGAAGAGTATTCAAGCCAAATCGATACGTACTCCCGATCTCGCATCGAACTGCAAAATGCTTCGCGTATTTAAGCCTTTCGCTGCTGAATTATTTTTGCATCTTTAAAATTTAGTCGATCAGCTGAAACTTAATTTGAAATTATCATCTTTTTTTTCCTTTAATTCTCTTCAGTGTAAGTGAATATTTAAAGGGTAAGTTTAGAAGAAGAGAAAACGATAGTTTAGAAGGAAAGATGGTTTATTTTTTAAATATTTTTCCACACTGAAATATTATTTTATATTAAATTTAATTAAATGAAAAATTGTTGCGGATTGGTATTTAATTTAATTTAGAGGCGATAACGCGCGTCTGGAGTTTAATCGGTGCAGCGAAAGGATTGAGTAGGCAAGCAAGCGTGTGTACGAATAATTCTCGACATGTCGATCGTTTGTGTCGAACGTAGGCGACGAGGCACCCGTACCGGATGACGGTATTAAACCTACCTTCACCGAACGACCGGTGATTAGACAATCCGACGACGGTAACACCATCACCTTCGAATGCCGACTTGTCGGCGATCCGAAACCGAGTGTCAAGTGGTAAGGTCTTGAGATCCGCGACGCGCGTGAGGAAGTAACGTTGAAAGGTATTGAATCATCGGAAGAAACGCGGATCGAAGATATTCCGATATTATTAATCGACTAGGTAATAAAATTAAGAAAAGAAGATTTTTCCTAGAAAGACTGTCTTCCAACATTTTTGAAAGATAGTACAGTATCAAAAAGTCTGAGACAGATATTTTTGAGCTTACGCTTGATTATCAAAGTGATTTTATATCTCGTTCCGATGGTTCAAAGTTGACAAACGCAGGAGCACGATGTGCACTTCCAAGCGCGCGACCCGCAAATTAATATGCGGCGGTTGCTTCGACTTGGCACGTTGACGGCGATCGTAGGTATCACGGTACCGAGGAAGTGAAAGACGGCGGGCGGTTCAACACGTCGCTGGAACTCGATCAGAAGCTGTACCACCTCGCGAGGCTGAGGATCGACAATGTGGCAAAGGGGGATGCGGGCGAGTATAGGGCCGTAGCGAAGAACAAGCACGGCCAGGGGGTGGCGACCATTAATTTGAACTTCGAGGGTGGCGACAGGCTCAAGTAGGCATCGAAAGATGATCTGTCCTTGGCATTGCTCTGCCGCGCCACGATTAGACAGTCGTGCTCTTGTTTGGTTCGACGCGTGATAAAAATTGGATACCTATATTGCAAAAATTTAGCGATAATTTAGTGTAGCTTTCAATGAGTTGCAATGCAAAAATAATAATAGCAATAGCTGTAATGATGGTCGAATTTCGACTGCTCTTTATTGAAAGTAACAAGATCAAGGAATTGTATGTTAAACGAAAAAGTACATTACTTCTGAGGAATTATCTTGCTGATTGCTATTAGAATTCTTTACATTTATTACATTTGATTACGGACATTATATCGTGAAATATAGGCTCTGTTATAATTAAATACCGACAAATGTATTGTAAAATAAAAAAGGTAAAATCGGTAAAAAGGTAAAACCGATCGGATTATGAACGCAGGTATTCGCACATTCAGTTCACACGCTTCTTCATTATTTAATTTTTAGATCATTATCAAAGCCAAAATTTCTTTTCTCAAAAATGCTTGCAGTCACTTTATAATAATTGATGTCCCTTATTTAATTTGCGAATGCCTGCATCTGCAGAAATCGCATGTTCTCTTTGGATTAGAAATTTTGCCAAAAAAATTTGAGATTAAAAGAGAGCCTGCGACTTTTATAGCAAACATTTTTCAATAACATCGCGTCGCGTATCGGGAATATCGCGTGGCGTGGCCGGCAGATGAAAAACAACGTCGTCGAGTGAGATGGCTTTGTTCTACGTTCGATCGATAAGCGAATCGACGAATTTTTCGTCTGACGTGTCGATTTACGCAGAATACCGGACGGTAAGCCGCCGCGCTTCCCGAAGAAGCCGACGATCCGCCAGGAGGGCGACTTACTCATCATGGAGTGCATCCTGGAGGCACATCCGGTGCCGGACATAACGTGGTACCAGGGTCAGAAAACGATTGCCGACAGTAAACGCGTGAAGATGTCACGCAAGGCCACCGGCAAGGACACGTATCTGCTGACCCTCGAGATCTCGAATCCGACCAAGGCTGACGGTGGGAATTACCGTTGCAACGCCTTTAACAACTTCGGCGAGAGTAACGCCAACATCTCCCTCAACTTCCAAGGCAAGTCCCCCTCGAAGCGTACGAGAGGGCTCTCATTGGCACTCCGAGATATTTATCAAACACGCTTCAAAATTATTCAAAAGGATCATCAGTTCTAAGACTAGAGAAGCAGCAACGCTAAGTGTATATTCTTTTATTTTATATAATGCTTTTAAGTAATTTTATTTTTTTGTTCAAAATTAATCTTAAAGCTGCAACTGCTCGGATAGTGAAATCCCTTTCGTTGACTTCGTCCATGACGAGTCCTCGACTTTCCCTATGTTTCCGTCGTACGTAATGCATTCTATAAACACGCGGTAAAGGTGTACAAGCGACTTTTCTCAATGAACGATCGCGATCATTGGCGTTAGGTCGGTTTATCAGGTAAGCACAGCCGCGCTACTGCTAACATAATCGTGAAGTCTCTGTATCTTCGCTTCATAACTCATTGAGCTGCCAACAACACGACTAACGTTATCGGGAGTCGCGGTCGCGGGTCATCGGTGACCCGCAACCGCGGCGAAGATCGCGTTTCCGGTGTCGCGGAAACGGCGCTCATATCTTCACCAACGATGTCTAACCGTGGATCTTTCCAAGATGCAGAGGAGGGCGCGGGTTGCGCTCCGTCCTTCATCGAGAAACCTCGCATCATCCCGAACGAGACCGGTACGCTGATCACTATGAAGTGCAAATGTAAGGCGAATCCCAAGCCGGAGGTCACGTGGTTCCGCGGTACCAACGTGGTCAACGAGTCGTCGAAGATCTCGATCAAGACCAAGACGGTCGAGGAGGACATATATGAACTTATCATGGAAATAAAGGTAATTCTCTACTTTGTTAAAAGTAAAAATAATTTTAATTGATTTCATTTCACTATTAATAAATTTGGAAACAAATCTCTGCTCTTCAAGTTCTCAGATATTTAATTTTAAGATTTTTTGTATACTTGGGACTTTTGGCTTCAACTTTTTCCGAACTATCAGTGTCATAAAATATGTTTTATTAATTTTTTATTAAATCTAATTTTTTTTTTGTGACAGGATCCATCGGCACCAGACGGTGGTACTTACAGGTGTCACGTGAAGAACGAGTATGGCGAGAGCAACGCTAATTTGAATCTGAATATCGAGGCGGAGCCGGAACCGGAGGGAGACGGGCCAACGTTCGTGGAGAAGCCGCGAATACAGTCGCAAAACAAGGGCAAGCTCGTTATTATGGACTGCAAGGTGAAGGCAAAGCCGAAGCCGCAGATTGTGTGGACACACGCTGGCAAAGTGGTGAAGGAATCCTCGAAAATTTCCATCAGCATCGTCGAAGAGAAGGAAGATATTTATTATATCAAGTTGACTCTAAACGACCCCGGACCAGACGATTCCGGCCTTTACAAGTGCAACATTAAGAACGAGCTGGGTGAACTCAATGCTAATCTTACATTAAATGTCGAAAGTAAGTTTGCATTTCTTATATTAAACACTATTTAATGCAATAGTTCAATTAGTTTTTTAGAAACGAAATAATTGATTTAGATTGAATTACTCAACTTTTGTCTTGAACATGTTCAGCTTTTATAGAAATATTTTTATAAATGTTAGTAAGAGGCTATAAATTAGCTAATAAATATTTAGATTGATTTGCAGTTATATTTGTTAGAATATAATAAATCAAAATTTTTAATTCTGAACAATAAGTTTTTAAAATAACATGTAATATTATTTTTTACACAGATTATGTAAAAGATAATTTTAAAGATAGAGTAAAATAGTAATCAATTTTCCGATTGTGATTTTAGTTATACCTGTAATTAAGGAGAAACCAAAGGTGGTGAAGATCGTCAAGAAGAAAACAGTTGTGATCGAATGTCACGTTCTCTCTCAATTTGCGCCCGACTGCACATGGTTCAAGGAAACTCAGGCTGTTAAAGAAGATAATAGACACAAGTTACATGTCGAGCAAGTCAAAGAAGTGAGTTCTGTACGATAAAACTTGATTTTGTATCAAAAGACATTGGTATTGAAAAGAAATGTTTAGAATTCAAAATTCTTAACAGAAGAGTTAGAACAGAATTTTCTCTTTCATTTATTGTTATCGATATATTGTGTAACTGTAAAAAAAGTAGCAATTTAACATTATTTAGTAATTATTACGTAATTATTATTTAAAAAATTATATGAATTTTGATCGATTGATTTTTCTTAAAAAGGGTGAATTCGCCGTGAAACTCGAAATCGAACAAATGTCGGCGACAGACAAAGGCACGTACAAATTGGTGGCCCGCAACGATAAGGGCGAAGCCACGTCGCAAGTGGTGGAAGTGACGGAAATTCCAGAGGAGAAAGGAGAAAAACCAAAAATTGTTACCGGCCTCAAATCAATTGTGAGTATTTTTTATTGGTACTCAAAATTCAGCGCTTTTTGTTTTAACATTCTTCTTGATAAAAAGACAATATTGTTCAAACAAAGTTTCTTACATGAATTAATTGTTGTGTGCTAATTTCTACTTCCAAGACTGTCGAGGAAGGCAAGACGGTCGAGCTCATCGCCACTCTCGCAACGCAAGATCGAAAAGTCACTATAACGTGGACTAGGTATGTGTTTAATATAAAAATTGTGTTTTGATAAAAATTGCATAATATTTGAAACAATTTGTCTTAGCTGGCAATCATATTTTTAAAAATACTCTTTCTTATATTACATTATATATTATTTTATTAAATTGTACAGATTTTTATGACTTAATAATAATTTTATGTCATTTAATAATTTCAATAATAATTGTAATATGATTATAGAGATTCAACGGTCGTCAAAGCGTCAAAAGATATTATGATCTCCTTCAATGGTCTGGATATGAAATTGACCATTACTTCAGCATCGACAGAATTATCGGGAACATATAAAGTCGTCGTGAGCAACGAATACGGCCAAGACGAGTCATCGGCCCGTCTCGTCGTTAAGGTAGGAAATTGTATTTCATATGCTTTACAGATTATCATCGATACGTGGATGCAAGTTTCTTTTGTTAGTAACTTTCTCTATTTCTTTGTATATATTTATATTCCAACATATTGTAAGGAATTTGTACTTCCATAAAAAATTGACACATTGGATTTAGATTGTCACTCCTTTTCTTTATGTAAATTTAAAATGTTATACGTCTAATAATCATAAATTGACCCAAATATCTCGTTAAAAAATTAGCATGTTGGTCACCTATGAATATCTTGTGATTAAATCATTGTTTCCTTGATAAATTTGAAGATTACTTGTGAATGTGATACGTTCCCCAATGTTGCATGCAATCCCCTTATTAAATTACAGAAGAAAGAGGAAAAGAAAAAGGACGAGGAGGAAGAAGAAAAGAAGAAGAAGAAAGTCGAGAAGAAAGAGGAGAAGAAAGAAGAGGAAAAGAAAGAGGAGAAGAAGGAAGAGAAGAAGGTGGAGAAAAAGGTCGAAGAAAAGAAGGAGGAAAAGAAAGACGAAAAGAAGGTAGCCGCCGAGATGAAAGAATTAATCAAAATTTTATTTACTTTTCAACCGTTTTCTGTTGCTCCCCTGTGCCTTCTGTTACACCTCTTGTGATTAACAAGATACTCTCACACGTACAACTTGATACAGATACAGGAAGATTAGTCGTTTTGCAGAATTTATTACAATATGCTCTTTTACACTTATGTTTATTGTAATTTATTGTAATTATCGAAAAATAATAATTGATGTTAAAAAGAGAGCAATATATCAGGAGAAAGAGAAAAGAAAAGAATTTTAGTTTTAAATAATCATTTATTATATCGATTAATTATCGATGTACGAGTAAATTAATATGAAATATTGAATAATTCACATTAAAAGCATCTACTATATAATTCGCCAAAACGATTGATCTTTTAACTCCTCGACGCGACAATTGGCATATTGTTGAAAAATTATATCTCGATATATAAGGTAATAAGTTCAATGTGGAGCGACAATGACGGTGAGGGATCAGAAGAATATGAGGAGGAAGAGGTGGAGGAGGAGGAAGAAGTGGTGAGTGTAATTGAGTCCAGCATTATCAGCACGGAAGCCATTCTTGAGGAATTGGATTCTGAAATCATTTCTCGCGTCGAGGTACACACATACACAAACATATGTCAACCCTAATACATAGAGTTCATCTCTCGTCAATTTAAATTGTTATACTTAGTTGGTAATAACTTAATAACAATATATTAATGCATTAATGCATAAATGATCTTATTTTTAATTACTTTAAAACAACATTTTTTTACATATTACTATTTTTACAATTTATTTATTATAATATAACTAGACTTTCATGCTAATTAAACTAATTCTTTTCTCTCCTTTTTCAAGTTATTACAATCATGTCTTTGTAGGATAAATCATTTTGTTTCTTGTTATTTTCAAGGATAAACCCGATTTGAAACCGAACGGTATCGACAAACCAGGGATTGGGAAGGTATGAGATATAATTATTTCTTTTTAATTTTTTAAGAAAAGGATCAAGTGCAACTTCTTATGAAAGAAAACAGTACACTATGATCAGAACACGTCACACCGTGATAATAATTATTTATCATCTGTGCCTTCTTATTTGTTATCCCCGCCGTTGTCTTGCTTGCATCTTTTTTTCATTTGTGTTACAATCTTGAGATTTATGTGTGTACTGTGTATTACACAATGTGTACAGAAGCTTATTACATTGAACGCATATTCCCAGTAGATGATAGCGTATACATATAGTTAAATATATAAATTATATAAACGACATTAATTATGCTTGTAAAGAAACAATTCTAACTTTGATGTGTAAGATATGCGAAAGAAAAGTCAAGGCCCTGATGTTTTCTGTTTCAGAAGATGGAGATCTTACAGGTGAGCATCAATACCAAACGGTCAGATTTCGGTAATGTAATGCGCTCGAAAAATAACTTTGATCCGCTCGAACAAATACCACTGTGCTCTGAAGCTTGAGGCTTTGGCGAAATATTTTGGCCGATGCGAAACAACATATGTTTCGCATAACCCGCAGGAAATTGTTTCAGTTTTCTTTCGGTATGAAATCTTATCTTACCACCGCAAAATTGTCTTTATGCGATTGATATTTGCCGTTTTTGCGCCATATTTTGCTTATACTATTTTATTTTTCGCAGCATCCACTTAATCTCGGCTTATCCGCTAAGTTTCTTCGAACGATCTCATGCGCACGCTATTAAGCAACCGCCTTGATTAACTTTCCTTCATTTAAGAAACGCAAATCTTCCAAGAGCTTTTTCAGATACCATATTTCTTTCCGAGTCCTAGAAGCTGGTTCCTTAAAATCTATCCAATCCTGCTTCAAAGTTTAATTCTTTGTTTCGCTTTTCGAATTTTTGCATGCTAGACTTTTTCTTTGTGTGTGTTTTATGTTTCGTATGTTTGTGCATGAAACCTTTTGCGAAAGGAATTGAAGATACTTATTCCTGATTAAATGTAAACTTAAATGTTATCTTAAATTATATTCGTACTGTATTTCTGATTACTGTGTATTTCAAATTAAACCGAGAAAGTACTTTCACTAATATTACTTAATTTTCATACGTATGTAGAAAGACGAAGAAATCGTGAATAATGTTGAAGAGAGGAAATCTATTAAGGTAAGAATGTAAGATGTAGTTCTTATTAAGTATTGTAATTAAAATTATGTGACAAACATTTAGTAATTATATACTTAATTTTATATCTCAATATTTTCTATATTTTTCTTTTAATTTGTAGAAGAAACCCGCTGAGAAAATTGAAGACAAGAAAGAAGAAGAGAAGGTAAGCGCAATTATTTGCACAAGCTTAATTTATCTGTTAAAAATCTATTTTCCTTTTTTATCTTCAAATCTTAATTTCTTTTTTTCCAGAAAAAGATTGTAAAGAAGAAAGAGCCCGAATCTAAAGAGGTGTGCATAATTCACTTTTTCTATTTTAACATTTTATTTTTCATATTAATGTAGTATATTTCTATTCTACATATTGCAAATTGATTTGAGTTTTAATTATTTAATATTATTTATGTGTAGGTATCTCGAGAATCCACGCCTAAACTCGAAAAAACTGTGGCGAGTCGCAAGGAATCAGTCAGCAGGGTAACTATTGAATGATATATTATACATTTTTTTAATAATCACAGGAAAATAGATTTCATATATAAATTTTCATATCTCAGGTGGAAGAACTTAGGACAGAGAGTCGTCGCAGCTCGCTTATCAAGACTGAAGAAAAGGTGTGTAGGCTATTATATAATATTAAATTCCGTTTGACAGCTACGGTCCCGCAACATTGATTCTATGCCATTACAAATATTATGTGAAATTATTTTGATTTATTTTACTATCATCGTACAGATAATGGATGATGGCACCGTGTCACCACGACGTCTTTCTATACAGAAGGTACACGTACATATACATACATTTATACATTTTACACACAGACATTGCCAAGAACAATTACAAACAATTTTATAAAATTGCTATTATCTGAAAAAGGCATTTAAATTTATTGGCTAGAATAAAATAACATAAATTATTACGTAAGGAAATTTAATTATATTACAATTTCAAGTTTACTTTAATGAATCCTGTTTTAAATTAAAAATTTTGTTGAGAAATATTAGTTATAAATTTGAAAGCTTATGACAACTGAATTTTAATTTATGTTATTATATTTTATCTATCTTAGACCGAAGAAGAGGTCAAGGTAGAAAGCAGACGATCTTCTATCATAGAAAAGAAGAAGACGACCGAAAAGGTAAAAAAGAACATGTTACCGTTTTTAATCGGTTATACAATGTGCTAACAACAAATTTCGTTGTCGATTAATTGATTAGTTGTTAATTATAATTTTTGGAAGAACAAACTAAGTATGAGTGAATTGTCACCTTCTCGAAGTCGACGTAAGAAGGAGTTTTTATAATTTATTATAGAAACCAGTTATTTTGTGTTAATAGCTTGATGTAATTTCATTGCTTGCCAAAGTAGCTTGTGTTAATTGTATTTTGTCTTTTATTATTTTCCAAGTAGTCTTTGAAAATAATTTTATTCGTAGATTTGATTTTTGAAGCTTTCAATGTGCAAATAATTTTACAATAAAAAGAGAATCACAATTTTAAGTTGAACTATAAAATTGTTATAGGAATAAAAATAATAGGTATTAAGATATTTTTGTTCGATTAAAATCGAGGTTCGAGATTCGTGTTACGTTAGATTTTGTATATGAGGAAAAACATCGAAGAACATGTATCTCGCGTCATTGCAGGATATACCCGCATTCAGGCTAAAAGCCATTCCGCGAGCGATTGAGGACGAGGTACACTCACACATTTTAATTGCTCTGATTATTTTATTTTACATTATTTTTCTTTTAATTATACTTTGTAACAAAATGTGTGAATATTTTTTAGAACACACTCACAGCGAAGATCAAGCAACACACACACAAACTCGACGAAGATATTCAGGTACATAACAACACAATATTACTTTCAATCGTACGTCGTTCACTAGCATACACGTTACACTTAATTTTAGGACATATGGCCGTCTAAACCGACAAAACGCGATAGTAAATTAGTAAGACATTACGAGGTACGTGACGCATTTATTATTACATTTATGCGTCTTAAGACACGCGATATAGACATATAAAATATTGTAGGAAACCGCGAAGTCCAGTGTAACTTCGTCCGTGCGTGAAACCGGCCATAAACCGAAGGTATCTCGCGCCATATATTTGAAAAATGTTGTCCACGTGAAAGTGGAAAAATATTTTTATGATACTTACGAGAAAAGGAATTACGCAAAAATAAATCTTTTAGGCTACACCTCAAGCTGCAATTAAGCCACGCGTGCGCGATTCGGACGATGAACTTGAGGTATACAGACAATTACATTGCATACATGTTAGTTATGCACAACGACGGCTAAATTTTGAGAACGTTACAAATTTTATCGACGCCATTAATTTTAGGACGCTTGGAGCATTCACAATCCGGGAGAACGTGATAATGAATCTGCGCCATATCATAGAGTATGCGAATATACTACGCAAAAGTATACACCCTTCAATTTTAGAAAGACCATATTTCAACCGTAATATTTTTTTTATTTATTTTAGGATACGTCGTCAGATAAGACACACAAACCAACACACACACGTAAAAAATCAGACGAAGATAAACCGAAAGATAAAACATTACTGCACGACACAGCCGCAAATAAGACACATCCGCAGAAATCCGACGAAGAGATTGAGGTATAGAGCATTTATTGTAGCTGGCTAGGTACAAGTAGCATATCTTTAAATCGTCAATCTTTTTAGGATATTTGGGCCAGTAAGAAACGCGATAGTGACTCCAAGAAACATGACAAAGTATGCGCGAATACATTTAAATTACACACGCATTACTCGTAAATAATTCGCGCAAGTCTCTTTAGAAGAGATCGTAAAATTTCAAATATATTATTTTAGGATGTTCCGAAAGAGAAAAAATATTTGCGTGATGCATCTGCGAGTAAAGTTTCACACAAATCCGACGACCTTTCAATAGATAAGACACTTTCTCACGATACACCGACATATAAAACGCATCCACCGAAATCAGATGAAGAGGTTGAGGTATAGGGAACTTTACTGTTGCATACAAGCTAGGCATAAATTACATACGTTAAATATATAAACCTTTTTTAGGATATTTGGGCAAGTAAAGAACATGATACCGACTCCAAAACGCTTGACAAAGTATGCGTATAAATTAAATTCATGCATGCATATTCGCATATAGTTCCATTTTCTTTAGAATTGTAAAGTCTTAGATTGTAAAATTCAAAATATAAAAATATAATTTTAGGGTGTTCTGAAAGAGGAGAAACCACATGACATATCTATGAGTAAAGTACCATCGCGTAAATCCGACGATACTGCAAAAGATAAAACACTTTCTCGTGACACGCCAACACATAAAATACATCCGCAGAAATCTGACGAAGGAATTGAGGTATACACATAACGTTATTGTGAGACACAAGTTATACACTTTTAATATGTCAATTTTTTTAGGACATTTGGGCGAGTAAAGAACACGATAGTGATTCCAAAAAGCATGAAAAAGTATGCGTTCATATTTAAATTATAATATTAATATTATTTGCGAACTCTGGAATTTTTTTTAGAAAAGATTATGAAACTAAATATGTTATATTTAGGATACTCCGAAAGAGAAAATTTGTTTGCGCGATACACCTACGAGTAAAATACTTCCACATAAATCCGGCGATATTGCAAAAGATAAGATCTTTTCTCGTGACACTCCTGCACATAAGATACATTCGCGAGAAGAAATTGAGGTACAATATATAACGTATACTCTTGCATAATTTGCACAACATACATTACGTACTTTCGAAATATAACTTTTTCTAGGATATTTGGTCGACTAAGCCGAGAAAAGATGTAGAGTCTAAGAAATATGACAAAGTACGTGAATATAATTCTTAATTATCACGTGTATATAATTAAATTAAATGGAATCGAAAGTAATAATGACATTTTTAATAATATTTTAGGACGTGCCAAAAGATAAGACACTTTTACATGATACACCCACGGTTAAAACACAAAAACTACACAAACCTGATGAGGTGCCAAAAGATAAGACACCTCTACGTGACACACCCACAGCTAAAATACAAAAACCTGACGAAGTGTCAAAAGATAAAACACATCTACAGGACACACCCACTCACAAAATACACCCACACAAGTCTGACGAACAAATCGAGGTATATAACACATCACACATATGTATATCGTGATTGCAAATACATATTTTTATGTATTCTATTTTTTTAATATTAATATTGTAGGACGTTTGGTCGACCAAGCCAAAAGAACGTATCATTGATTCTAACATATATGGCAAAGTATGCAAATTAATATTACACATAGAGGTCCCTTATTATGAGATAGAATTCTAATATGGGATAGCGGAATTGCTATTAAATTAATAGGCATCGTCAGTTGATTCCACCATGAATTTATTGCCCTTGGAACGAAATCTGTTTAGCGGAAATTTATTTTTAGATTATGAAATCGTTACGAAAAAAGATTTGTGATTGAATTTGGGTGTTAAAACCCTACTATTTCATATTAGAAACTTATTTTATAATAGAGGACTTTCCTCCATAAGAACTGCATATGATTAGTATAAATTTTGTATAAATGGGAGGGTATATAAAGTTCTAAATGTGCAATATAATTTTAGGACTTACCGAAACCTAAAGTTAAATCACCCCGTCGTCAATCTGTCGAAGAAATCGAGGTACACGTTACATATAACATATACATTCGGCCGTGTAATTATTTTACTTACTTTTTTTTAACGCTGACACTTTTAGGATATTTCATCCAAGCAGAGGGAACGTGAAAACAGATCACACAAAACAGATGAGGTACACATTATGTGATATACTTAAATAAATTTGTAAAATAATGGATAACTTTAGAGAATCGTTATTATAGGATACACCGGTAATTAAGGCTAAGAGACGCGTGTCTAAAGATGATCAAACGGAAGCAGATAAAATATCTTTGGACAAAACAAAAACGCGTGATATCAAGTCCACGCAAAATAACGAGGTAGATTATAGACGAGGCAGATAATATTCGCACACTTATGATTTAAAAAATAATTTAGTTTTATCCATTTACATCATCGATCTCAATGAAAGAATACTGTTCGATAGCAAATCGATAGAAGCCAACAAAATTTATAGTTTAAGGAAATTATATTTAAAGTTAAACAAAATACACGCGAAATAAATGCAAAATTATACTTTTTAGTTAAAAAAAACTACAATAGCTACATATGTATAGAATGCGTTAATAATACGCTTAAAATTTTAGGACAAATTGGCACCGAAATCGAGAGGATACGATGATAAACACGTCTCATATCATGAGGTACACGAGTATAAATGCTTCGCTTTATTCCACTCCACTTCATTTCATACAATTCACATTTTTATACACTCATACATCAAACTGCACAAAACAGTTTGATAAAATATACCGTTATTTTAGGATGCCATGTCCACAAACATATCACACAAACCTCTACTCGATCGAGATGTCAAAACTTACTACACACACTATAATTATGTTAGTTAGACAATACTTATAATAGTGGACAGCAAAACTTATTATTTTGTTTATTTTTACATTGATATATTGTTTTAGGACATATTGGCACCAAAATCCATCGAGCGCAAACCAAATTCTGTCACAATCGATAAGGTACACGCACACATATACTACATACACGCTTGTATGATGAGACAGATTATTAGGAAGAAATATTGTTTAACTAAAAATATGCGTATTAAGGACAGCATTATTTATCGTTAATTTTTTTAGGACATTTTGTTACCTACCGTTAAACCACAAACGTACGAATCTGACGATGATATTGAGGTACAGGATACATACAGAATGCAGTATATTTTTTTATCATATCATATTATATTTTGATTAATGTAATGGAATAATGTACGACCGTAGGATATCTGGGCTTCGAGAACCGAAGACGACGCGCCTAAACCTATTAGAAAATTGGAGGTAAATGCGCTTGACACTGCATTTACCATTTCTAATTTTGTTATTTACAACGCGAATCGTAATTTATCGGTACATTTTAGGACTCGCGAGCTTCCAAAGTTACGCCGTATAAAATCGGGGACAACGTCGAGGTATACATATTTATAAGCAATTATCTGGAAATGATATATTTATTAGTTATACGAGGGTTTTTTTAATTTATCTCGCAGGAATCTACACCCGTACCCACTTCTAAATTTGCATCTAAACCTAAGGACAGCGTAAACAAACCCAAAGAGTCCAGGGTATACATTTTTACACTCATCATAATAATCGACACTTAAAACTACACTTATATCAATTGATAAATATATTAATTGTTAATATTTAGATATTACTTTTACATGCTTTTAATACTTAAATTAAGTATATTTCATAACACCTACATGAAACGCTTTTACTTCATTTATGTTTCTTATCCGTTTGCGAAAGAAATGAGCTTTTCGGGTAGATTTCATCCTTAAATCTTTTTAGGAGGGCGACGTACCCGCACACGAAGTAGCCGAAATCAAACTTAAAGAGGCCAAGGTACATTGTCACACACACACAATAGCACGCATTCAAATACACATGATACACGATAATATTTCCTTAATTTTTTTATTTTAGAGCAAAGATACTAATTCTACACTTGACAAGGAAGAAGTACCCAAGGTACAATAAAGTGGCAAAAATTATATTTTATACATACACAAGACATACTTTCACAAGACATACTCTCTTTTGAGAGCAATTATTTTATCACATTTTTATGCAATTGTAGAAAAAGGTGTCCACTAGACGTAGGTCGTCGACTAAATCAATGGAAGGGTCCGAGGTATAAAAGTGATCTTCCTTTTCTCGGTGTTAATCCTTGATGACTCTTTTTACTTATCCGGTCGCATAATCTTCGATAACTCTTCATTCTTTCTGCACATGTAATCTCCGATTTTTCATCTTCTCTACGCTATATAATCTTCGAAGCTGTCTATTGCATCTTTGCATTGACATCCCTCGTTGAATGAATTGTTGTTATGGCGCAGTTTCTTCTATTATCTCTTCACGATAACCGTTTCTCTTCTCTTACTACTTCTCTTCTTCTTGCTCTTCTTTAAAACATTTATACTTTTGTTAATTATAAATATTGTCTAGGATCAAGAACCAGTATTGAAACCAAAGAAGAAGAAACCTAAATCCGCAGATGAATCTAAGGTACATGGTTACATATTAAAGATACATTTCACAATTATAAATACAATATATGAAGGATAAGTTTTATATTTCTGTGCAGGGAATAAAGCCATATATGATTATTTGTGCATACTAATTATAGATATTTATTGTTAATAGCTGCATTGCTATATGCTTTAAATTGTTACTAACATTAATGTGCAAAATTTCTAATGCTATATTATGTTGCAAAATAGAAAATAGAATGATACATGTAATTTTATATATGTATATATATTTATTAGTTATAATATATTTATCTTGACTATTTATGTCTTTTATACGGTTTACGCATTTTTTATAACAGAAATACACGTTTGCCACATATAAATCTTATAATGTCTAAATAAAAATTTTCTAGAAAGTGGAACCGACTACGAAACCGAAAACTCTCGAAAAACCGGAAACACCGAAGGTACACAAAAGCACAATTATAAACACATACACAAAATTTAAAATAAGATTTAAATATTTTATTTTTTTATAATTACATTTAGCTGTCGTAGGATAAAACGTAAAATTTATATTTAAAAAAGACTCGAGTTTTAAAAACATTATTACTACATTTTAGGGGGAAGCTAAGCCTAAACCGGAAGAGGCGAAGGTATATAAAACAATTACACTTAGTATTTCGACACTTAACAATTTCTTCGCTCGCGATTAACACTGACATTTACAACTAAACTACAGCTAAATAAAGCTAAAATAGAGCAACTATTAAAGCATAATACATACAATATAATGCTCTTTTCTAATTCCACGCCATATTTGAAAAATGAGCACCAGCTGCATTAACTATCTGTCGTAAAAGTGTAAATTAAGACATTTACGTTTACATTCAAACATTTTAAACATTTTTAGGTGGAACCGAAAGCCAAACCCAAAGCAGAGGAAGTAAAGGTACATTCACACACACATATACATATATGTATATACATATATCTTGCAACAATATACACTTGCACAAGTAACAGAGAGTACAATAAAATAAAAAAGCTGACAAATGGAGAACACTATTAAACACTCGTACACTTTTAGGAAGCCAAGCCTAAACCAGACGAACCGAAGGTACACAAAAAAAAACACTTTTTGTATCACATTTTACTACTAAATTTAATAATCGGTTTAAGTATATCACAGCCTATTGACACGAAAAATAAGATATTAACACTCAAATTTACACATGCACTTTTAGGTGGAACCAAAAACCAAACCTAAACCAGAGGAAGTAAAGGTACACTTAAATCTGCATTATCTTGCACTAATACATACTTATACAAGCCTAGCTCGCGGTTAACATAAACAAATGCATTGACTATTGCAAATAAATGTGATAAAAAGAAAACTTTTCAATCGTACACTTTCAGGAAACGCCAAAGGTGAAGCCTAAACCGGGCGAAATAAAGGTACATAAAATGTTTGTCGTTTAAAACCCAGGTGGATACATAAAATTTATAATAACATCATACTGACGTTATTATGACTTTATTGGCCCATTTGGGAAGTAAATCTAAGCTAAATATGTTTTTAAAATATGCTTAATATGTATACTTACGTACACTTTTAGGAAGAACCGAAAGCTAAAACAAAAACGGAAGAAGTGAAGGTATATTTACACTTATGCTATCTTGCAACATTATACACATCATACATTTGATATAAAAATAACAAAATAAGAAACAAACAAATTAGATGGAAAATTAAACTCGAGGTATCGATAGTTTAAAAAATTAAAATTTAGCAGAGAATTAGTTTTGTACTCAACAAAGTCAGGGGAAGGCGAGGTATACGGTACACTTTCATAATTATGTCTACCATTCACGTTTATATTTTTTATTCATACACATTTAAACATAAGTGTTACAATTGTGAAAACGCTTCTAGGTTGAAGAAAAGCCTAAGGCTAAACCAGGGGAAACTAAGGTAAACGAAACACTTGTGCAAATTAACAGAAACATACAATATATCATATTGAAGATCAAAATATAATAAATACAATACTGTTATTAAGTATTACTCGTACATTTTTAGGAAACACCAACAGTCAAACCTAAACCAGACGAATTAAAGGTATACTAAACGCTTATTATACATAAATTTATCAAGATTAACTTCTTTATTGGAAATTTCTACCATTAGAATACATAAAGAATATTAACAAGCTCTAAATAATGCGAATACTAATTTAAAAAATATAAACCTTTAGAAAATTATTTAGTATTTTATGTTATCGAGAGAATTGCATATTCTATCTTTTTAAATAATAATATTAATAATCTAATATAGTTATCAGTAGATCTTTCGATAAAATTAATTAACAAAAGCAAAACTATTAACATTAAAAGCAATTCTAAAAGAAAATTTCACGAAAATCGCTTCTTATTTCACACACATGAATTAACATAACGAATTAATTTAAACGTTAAAAATTAATCTAAATAATTAATTAATATAAAGTTAATTAATTAATGTACATTAATTTAAATTAAACTAATTCTTAAAAATATGTTGAGCATTAAATTAAAGGATATTTTGATATTTGTAGAAAGAGGAACCAGCAAAGAAACTTATGCCTAAACCAGAACCCAAGGTATACTTAATAAAACACACACAAACGATATAAAGATAATCTAACATTTATATTTACCTAACATTTACATTTACATAAATTTAAATTAAAACAGGATATAAATTTCATCAAGAAATAGTATTATTTAATTTTTATGTTTCATTACAGAAAGAAGAAGAGATCACTAGGAAAAGCCTAAAGTCCGTCAAGGTAATTACAATTTTTACAAAAATATTAATTTGTTAACAATATTGTAAACACATTTATAAACATGCATTTTTAAGTACTAAGTCCAGTTTAATATTTTAACAAGAGGAAGAGAAAATTTTAATTTATTCTTTGCAAATATTTTCAAAATACTTTATGAGACTGTGAAGAAGAAAGAGATGTATACGTACATGTTACTAACGTCAAACTTTTATTTGTTTCAGCAACTCGAGGAAGAGAAGAAAACTCAAGAGAAAGTCGAGCTTAAGGTAATTTTATTCGTCACATTTATCAACAATCGTTCACAGTAACGTCCAATATACCATCCTTAGTAGATGTAGAAGCAATAACGAAAATAGTTGTAGAAATGAGTAGTATTAGACTATTTAATTTAATATTCTATTTACAATTAGAGACTTAATTTAGTATTATTGAATTAATAGTATTAGATTAGCGTTTTGGTGCGTTCCTTTGCTTGTTGAAATCTGGTACCGGAACGAACATATTGATACCTCACGAAGCTTTTCTTCTAACAACGATGTATTAATACAGCCAAAGGACGCCGCCGTGACCAAACCGAAATCCCGGTTACCACCGAAACAGGAAGTAAAAACCGAAAGCTTTCAGGGGATTCAGCTTAAACCGGTTACGAAGGATCCAAAACAGCCTCAGCAGGCTGAACAGGGCAGGGTGGAACTTAAGGTAGCCCCGCTGAAGGGGATCAACGCGATCTTACCGCGCAATCTCTATGTCTCGCGCTCTTCTTCTGTGGCTCTAAACTTCCTCTCTAAACTTGAATTCGCAGCAGCTCTAATTTCGCACTATTAAACAGCGCCAAAATATATTTGTGCGCATTCTTATCTCTATATGTACTTCTCTATATTTCTAAGATACTTCTCACTCCATGTTCTTAATACAAATGATATTAATTGAACGTTGTCTCTGTAAATCTATCTTCTCTCTGTATTTATATTCTCCATATATGTATATATTGCGGCATATTTCGAAGCTCTACGTTGCATTCTTTACTCGATGTGTTCTAACTCTTCTGTGATTTACACTTAATCTACTTATGTTAATAACTATGTTAAAACAACACACAGAGATCTCTCTGGAGAGATCGATATCTTCTCTCTCAAATAATTTTCTCTGTCTTCACACATTTTTCTATGCTCTACTTTTAATTACAAGATTATCCGCGATACTTATCTTTCCTTGCTATTGGCGATTTGTACAGGGATTAAACCAACATCGTGTTTGACACGTAACGGTGTTTATCTCCTTGCGAGTCTCTTTGATTCTATATCGTTTATCGTTTGTCTCCACAGAAAACGGAGAAGGCGGAAAAAGTCGATGTGAAGAAGGTGAAGGCAGGCAAGGGGGCGAAGGAAGCAAGTTACGATCTTCCGGAGATTCCAGATTACGAAAGAGCTGTCCTGGAGAAACCTCAGGAATTCGATTTTGGCGATTATGTCCCTCGCGATAAGACGAAGCTCGAAAGACCAGTTACGCAGGTAAAAAAGCAGTTAAAATCTTTGTACATAAACGATATTAGATAATTATGTCGAAATAAGGAAAAACAAGTTTTCTAATCAATGATTTTAAAGAAGTCATGGATTTATAGAAAAAATGTAATAGTAAATTAATTTAAATACCAATAAAATTTCGACTAACTATGTGTTTCTTTATTTTCATGTCGCTCTGCAGAAATTCGACTCTAAGGTAAGCAATTGTCGTTTATTAATAACCAAGATAAAATATGATTTTGCCAAATTGCCAAACTCGCTTGCACGAGGAATCCTGCGAATTTCACAATCGCCACGTCGCTCGAGGACGTTTTGATTGAGCCTCGCGATACGCGGTTCAGGATAATTAATTTTTACGCTCGATTTACGAACGGTTTAATTATAGCCGAGGTGCAAACTCGCTCGTTTGTATAAGCTTGGAAAGACAGTAAATAATCTAAAAAAATTAGAAATTTGCACATTGCTTCCTCATAGAGGAACGTTTAGGAGCGAAATCTAATTTTTTCGATGTTTCTTGAAAGTGTGCAAATTAGAAATTTGCA